CTTCTTCGCCTTCTACTACCTAGCCTCCTACACCCGCGACATCATCGGCCTCTCCTACAACGACTCCCTCAACCTCCTCCTCGTCCTCAACGGCGTCGGCGTCCCAGGTCGCATCCTCCCCGGCTACATCGCCGACCGCGTCGGCTCCATAAACACCCTCATCCCCATGTCCCTCGCCTCCGGCATCCTCATGTACTGCTGGGTCGCCGTCTCCTCCACAGCAGGTCTCTATGTGTGGACGCCCTTTTACGGCCTCGCCGCCAGCGCGATCCAGAGCTTGTTCCCTTCGGCGCTGAGCCAGCTGACGAGCGATCCGCGGAAGCAGGGGACGAGGATGGGTATGACGTTTACGATTGTGAGTTTTGCGGTGTTGACGGGCCCGCCGATTGCTGGGGCGATTATTGAGGCTGAGGGCGGGAGGTATGTTGGCGCGCAGGTGTATGCGGGTTCGTGTTTGCTTGCTGGCATGTGTTTTTGGGTGGCGGCGAAGATGGTCAAGACGAGGAGGGCTGGGATGGGGTTGACGGTTTGGGCCAAGGTTTGAGGAGATGATGATGATGATGATGATGATGATGATGATGATGATGATGATGATGATGATGATGATGATGATGATGATGATGATGATGATGATGATGATGATGATGATGATGATGATGATGATGATGATGATGATGAGGTGCTGATTTGGGCATCGCTTGATGTGTTTCTTTGTGGATAGAGTGCGGTACAAGTCTGATGCTACGGCTAGAAGCATCGACTAATACTCCCCTAGTCATCTAATGTAATTATTCAACGCTGTCGTACAGTGATCAGGGCACGGATTCATCATTCGCCTAGGTTTGGTGGCCACTGGTGGTCTTCCATATTGCTCTTCTTGTCAAGCTCAAACCAAATATTGGTGTATCCATCAAACCGCGATGATTCAGTTGGTCAGACAACCACTCCGTCATCCACACGAACCGCCAAAACGCCCATCCTCGTGAGGTGAGCCGCAACCAAAATTGCTTCCCTTCAACCATTCTCACCGGGCCCCCTCCGACGACCCACCATCACCACCCTTTTCCACGCAAACCACAAACAACCGCGAATTCCATCGACACACCACTATGCAAGACAAGATAATCTCTTCGGTCGGAAAATCACACGCTAAAACCACCTAGTCGCCCTCTCTTCTTCTGTAAACCTACACAAAACAGCTCGCTAACAAAAAACACAAGCAGGCTGTCAGACCCCAAATCCCATCACCACCACGACATCAACCAGAGTTAAAGGCAAGCCAAGACAAGGTACGTAAAACACTTCATCAACACAACGCACTCCCCTCCAATAAGACGCAGTACCAAAAAAGCCCCAAGTCATCACCCGCATTGCATACCGGAAGCAAGCCCTCAACACTCCCGGCCGGCCGTTGTCGAACAACGGCGGCGCAACGAATTTCGTGCATAATCGAATCCGAAGCAGCTGTGCCACCCGGCCGTAAGGTACCGGAGGAGCTGCCCCGCATCCACATCCGCATCCGCATCCCATCCAACCGTTGACTATTCCCACATATCCCGCCCCCACGTTCCCTCCGGAGGTGCTGGGAAGAAATGATGCAGAGTAGAAACGTACCGTACCGTATCCCGGATTTAAAAACAGCATATCCCACAATTACCAAGGGTGCTCCAAAGTTTGCCTTACACACTGAAACCGGCGCGCATCCGTCAGAAGGCAGGTGATCCGATGCAAGTATGCAAGTCCCCTTAGACCCCCCCCCCCTTCTCCTAGAAGCAGGTCTACGGCCGTTTGACATTTTTGAATTGCGTCAAAGCCCAGCGCCTTGCGATAATTGACATAGCTCACAATGATTACAGACAGGCACCTTGGGAGGCAAAGAGTCAAGATCAAATGGTATCTCTTGTTCATTCATGATATCTATCTACATGCTAAAAGTCCAAGCACCAACACAAAACCCCCAAAAAAAAAACTCAACGCTATGTCTAGTTATCTCGATGATGGAAATCTATCTATCTACACAACAAAAAAAAGAAAAGAAAAAAACAACAACAACAACAACAACAACAACAACAAAGCAGTCAAAGAAACCCCCCAACCATCCTCCTCACACTCTCCCCGCCCAGTAACCCCCCAAGTCTCGCCATATCAAGCTCCCCGAGCGCAGGGTACACCCGCTCCCGCGGCACCTCCCCGCCCACCGCCAACACCCCCTCGTCCTCCATCCACTTGCGCAGCGCCGCCTTCATCGGCGCCGGCGTCATGGGCGAGTGGTACAGCATGTGCAGCGCCTGCGCGCGCATGTCGCTGACGTGCTCGTCGCCCTTGTTGTCGTGCAGGTGCGGGTTCCGCGTCTCGATTTGGTGGATCTGCACTGATGCGTGCGCGTGCTGCCGCGAGCCGTTGCTTCTGCTGCTTCTGCTGCTGCTACGGCCGCCGAGGCTCATGGGCGAGGCGGGAGGCGACAGGAGCTGTGACATTCGTGACGGAGACGACGGAGATATGGGGATGCTTGCGTCGGAGAGCGTGTCGCTGCCGTCGTCGTCGAGTCTTTGGTGGTTGCTGTTGTTGAATTTGTTGTGGTGGTGGTGGTGGTGATGGTGATGATGATGATGATGGTCCAAGTCGCCCATCTGCTCGAGGAGGTAGAGGTACTCATACGGCTCAACCGCAAACCCGCTCGCCATCCGAAGCTTCAGCGCCAGGGACATGGTCATGGCGTGCTCCCCAGCATTCCCCGTCGTGATGCAGTCCGTCCCGTAGCCGGAGAACTCTTGCAAAAGGTTGTTCAGCCACTCGTTCACCACCCGTGAACTGCGTCCCCTCCGATCAAACATGAGTCGGCCGTTCCGCTCCTTGGGTTTCGAGCTCCACGACACCCGGACCATGGCATGTTCCGCCGTCGCCCTCGAGAGGTGAAACCCAGCAGCGTAGCTCTTGCAGTACTCGTTGATGGAACCGGGGATATAATTATCAGCATCCACGAAGCCAACATACTCCCTCTCCATCAGCGCAGCAACAGCCATGCCGACAAGCATCCCCTCCCCCTTGCCGCTGTGCACAAGCCCATCGTCAGCGCTCACCAGCTCAGGAGCCCCCGCCGCCGCAAACGCATCAGCGACGCCGGGGTCCTTTTGATGCACCGCGATGGCGAAGCGATCCGCCTCGCGGCAAAAGGTCTGCAAGATGTTGACTTCCGTCTCGTATCTGTCGTTGTAGCCGCCCGTCCGGTTGCTGTTGGAGACGAGGACGATGAGGCAGTCGTGCGGGATGCCCGAGAAGACGGACTCGATTGTGCGGAACTCTTCGTTCATGCAGAGCACGACGATGGCCATGCGCGACTCGATGGCTAAGAAGTCATCCCGCGAAACGGTGAGGCTTGAGGAGGTGCTGCGGCCTGATCCGGCGTCGAGCTCGATGACGCGCTGGAGTTCGTTGATTTGTATTGAGCCGAGGCGCTCGAAGCGGGAGGGCCGTGTAAGTCTCATTGTTGGAAGAGTTGTGGTGAAGAGTGTGTGAGAACGGCTCGCGCCGAAGTGAAGGTAGAGTGAGATTGAAAGATGTGATTGGGAGTCTGATTTGCTCTGCTGAAGAGGAATGAGTGTACCGGATTCAAACAAGGTCGGTATGGTTAAATAGGTGTTCGATATTCACTCGAGCAGACTTCAGAGCAGTTGAGCTTGGTGACTCTTAGCTCTTTCTTCCCAGATATCCAAGCAAGACCCCCTTCGCCGGCCTTCCTTATATGTATTAACATTAGTCCCTGTGATCCAACAGGCCGGGTCCGTTGTCCACCCCAAGCACCAACGGCAACAGGGAGCAATGTGCGAATGGTAAGAGTACGGTTGGGTCAGTTCCAACGGCCGTAATCCGGTAACCCAGGTAGGTAGGCCAGATATCGAGACCTCATTCGAAAAAAGGGCCCCCAACGGGTAGACTGTCGTTCATCACGTCTCTATCCCACCGCATTGGTCAGTCCCCGACAGGTTGTCCGTTGTTCGCATTTGCCTAAAGGGTCGTTGCAGCCCGTTTGCTGCGTCTCCGCTGGAGAAGGGGGACCGACGTTATTCGTCAACTTACATCCTATGTAGAAGATGTTCCGTTGACAGGGGGTGGGGAGGGCAAAAGAAAGGGGAGAAGAGCAAAAAGAAAAGAACCGGGATTGTCAAAAATGATGTAGAAACGAAGTGTGCTTTGCACTGCATTCAACCTACCTCCGAGTCCAGTGGCCAACAAGCGACCTCCAACACGGCCATATCGCGACAGGGGGGTCTTTACACGCTGCGCCTCTCTCCCGCCGAAAAAGTGTAAGTGGGTAGAAGAAGATGAAGCATTTCAACAAAGAATGCTCTTCTAGACAATCTCGGCAGACAGAGAGGTCCAGAGATTATGAGAAATTAGACATTATTCAATTTTTTTTGTAGATTACAAATCGCATTGCAAAAAAAAGAAAAAAAGGTTCGATTTCTACGAAAGCACAGCCAAAGTGCCGAGGGGAAGAAAGACGGGCACAGCCGCTGTCAAGATCCCACCACATTGGTTGGCACCGAACTTCAGAACCTAATTGATCCTAGCGATCTAGGCGCATTCCAAAAACCCCACGTGCGTTGGTTCATTGTGATTGACTCAGTCCTGGAGAAAAAAAAAGTGCGAGAGAGCCTTGTACTGGGGAACTGGGGGTGGCTCTTGTCGAGGCCAGTTGGGCGCGGTTGTAGCTCTCCTTTTTTTTCCACCAACACACAGCCACGCACCGCGGCTGTTGGTTCTCTCTCGTCTTACCACAAAAAAGTGCCTGAATGGTTCCAACTTCCGCTTCGCCTTGGGGACCGATGATCTCATTGCTGTGCTGAGTAATTTTCGCCGCGGATCGTTGGGTCTAGAGGATAGCGCCCAGGGCCGGGTGGTGGCTTGACAGGTTCCGAGTTGGCCTCGTTGAGCTCCTTTGGGTCTTTGGCAAATTGCATCGTGCCATATCACCCCCTCACTCGGTGTGACAGAACGTCAGAGTAACGAGCAACTGGTTTTCTTGTCTTCCTCTCCCTACTGATTGCTCGTCATAAGATACTTTACAATTGTGCCACGACCGAAGGCTACGTTCCATTGTTTTCCGTACAACCAATCAACCAACATCCAACTCCAACATTCTCAATTTCCAGTAATGACCATTCCCTGTTGCTTCGATCTGCCAGTCATTTCAATTCCCTAGCCAATTCTCTCACTGCTTCTTCGAGGGGACAAAACCCTGTCGTTCGAGTCGGTGTAGTACTGGTATCCGTCTTGCCTGGCATCGATGCTAGCAATGTTGTCGTCATCTGGGTGATGATACTCTCACATCATTCGTCAAGTCGTTTGTAATTTGCATTCCGTCGTTCTTGTCCATCTCGTTATGTTGTTCGAACTGGCACAGTTGTCGTAAGCTGTGAGGCGAGGGAACCAAGTTCGAGTACTGCTCACTTGTTTCGAGTAGACGGGCCCTTCTTCGACGTAGGAGCGTAGGGAGCGCAAGTGATCGAATCGGCGCTCTTCTCTCCATTGGAGGACCTGAAGCTGGAAAGGGTCTTCTCATGCAACTCGCTCATCGCAGCCGCCAGAGACTTTTCGTAAGCCTCTTGCTTCTCTTTGATGGCGCGGATGTCGTCCATGATCTGCTTCATCTCGGCTTTGACAGTCTCATGGATGTACTCCTGCTCCTCTTCCAAGACTTCCTGCTTGTAATTGACAGCCTTGATGTCTCCTTTGAACCCCTTGATGGCTTCCCGAACGTCGGTCTTTCTAGCCGACAGAGCATTCTCGATAGGCGTCAGAGCCTTCTCGGTAGCCGCCACAGTCTTGTCGATCGAGAACTGCTTTTGATAGAGTCTGTTCACGGTGTCGCTGACTTCCTTCTGGCGGAGTTCCATGGCAAGCCACTTCTTTTCCATGTCCTGGAGGGCGTCGGACGCTTTCTTCAAGTCGCCCTTGGCCTCTGCGACGGCCTCCAGGACAGGCGCAAGCTTTCTGTCGATTATGCCCTCGACAGTGGCTTCAGTCACCACGTTGCGGGACTTCATCATCTCGTTGACCATGTCCTTCACGTCGGCTGGAGTCATTGGTCGGGTCGTATTCGAATCCGAACTAGCCATGGTAGCTACTACCGGATTGGGAGCGGTCGCGATAGAAGCTATAGCGGCGAGAGCTGTTGTGCCGGTAGAAGCGGAAGGTGCGATATCTTCTGCGGAAGGGGTTGTAGCTGAAGAATTTCGAGCGGAATGGCGTTTCGCTGTGGAGATTTGAGCTTGAGAAATTGGAACTGGAGAAGTTGAAGCTGCAGAGGTGAATGGGGAAGGTTTCGGCGCAGGAGGCTTTGGAATAATCGGCTGGGCTCGAGTGGTGGGTCCATCGAAGTTGACGGAACTTCCTGCCTCGGTTCCATAGGCAGCCTTCTTCTTCTTTTGCTGGTTCGAATTATAATTGTTCGTGGCAGATCGAGTCTCCTCGTGAAGGCGGCCCTGCTGCTGGGGACGAGAGATAGCCAGAGACTCGAAAAGCTCCTCCGGGGTCCGACCCTGATTGGTAAGCGACTTTCGGGTACCTGCCTGATTGTTGTTGCCTTGTTCATTGTCAGCGGTTTGATTCTTTGTCCGAACTGTCTTTGTGGTGTTCTTACCGCTCTGCCTTGTGTTGTTGGTAGGATACTGAACTCCGCCATCCCTGGACACAACGATCTGTCTCTCCATCAACTCATCAAAGGTGATGATGTGGCATCTGCCATGCATTTGAAGCCACTTGCTGTACTGACTGAAGTCAGAGTGTGCAATCTTGGCCCTGCGCAAGTCGGCAAACTCGTGAGAAAAGCATGTGGCAACTGCGGTGTTCTTGTTAGCACGATCGTAGATCATGCTAGCGAGGTAGCTCGTCTCAATGCAAGAGTCGCCTTGAAGGAGGCACCAGGCAATCCAAACTTGGGTGATGTGTTCTTGAGTCTCCTTGTATTTGGGGTCCTCATCGGCACACGCCATAATCGCAACAGCGCTGCGAATGATGGGGTGTTCAGGTCCAGGAACCCAGACAGAGCGGCGCATGATCCTCTTGGCATCCGCCCAATACTCATCGGCAAGACCGGGGTTGGATCTGATGAACGGTCTCCTGATTTTTCTGAACAAGTGAGGAATACTTTCCTTGTTGGCTCTTTGATTAGCTGCCCAGTATTTGTTGCGGAACTGCTTCTCGAGACGAGCTTCATGGACCATGTTAAACCAATCCGCCAAGGGCTTCGCAGCCCAGTTGTCAGTCCGAATGAAGATTTCGGCTGTGAGATAACGGTTGATGTCAACAATCTCTGCTTGGCCCTTGTTTCTTAAAACCGACTTGGTGGTTGAGTGGTACGTGTTTGCGCCCAACAGAAGGCCTTCAGTCTGGCGGGTAGTCGTGACGGTGCGTAGAATTTCGTTGTGCAAATCGACGAGGGCGGGAGTGTGGACGATCTCCTTTCTCATGGCTTGCTTTGCGACCTCTTCAGAGTATCTGATGGTGGTCATCTTATGCTTAGTCGGAGCCTTTGTCGAAGCTTGTCCACGTCGTTTGGAGGGGTTGGTGGAACGCTGAGGGGCTTCATGATCATCCTCGCTCTCATTGAGGACGTCGGCAGTCCGCTTTCGAGACTGATGAGCCATGCTTGACGAACGCTGTCCCAGGCTCTGGCGGTCCATGGTGATTGTCTTGCTTGTCACGCCTGTGATTTTCTGCGTTAGAAAAATAAGGGAAGGTGAGTAGGAGAGTTGAGAGATTCGAAGGAAATAGTGGTGATGTTCATGAAAGGGACCAATAATCGAACCGGCCAGTTCAGATCAACCGGTGGACGTGATGGAAAAGAAAAAAAATGAATTCAGTACTTACTTTGCGATCTGAAGCTACTAGTGCTGGCTCTGACTGCGTTGTATTTACAACAAAGGGTAGACGACGTGTAGACGACGTGCAGACGAAGGGCAAGTGAGATGCTGATCAAGGGCAAGCGAGATGCTGATGAAGTACCGTCTGGCAGATGAAGTGCAAGTGAAGATGGGAGGAAAGCTGCGATCGAGAGGTGTGAATGGAAGAGAGTAAACAGAGAGATGAGAGGGTGAGAAATATCTTTCTGCGCGGTCAGTGGTGTGGAGAGGGAGGGCACAGAAAATACAAGATGGAAATTTTTGCGCTGAAGAGAGGAAGGAAGGAGATGAAGCCGCAGTTGAGAGAAGGAGCGCCTGCTTGGATGAGAAGAAGGCGCGTCACGCGGTTGTTTTATCGTGGGTAGGAGGTTGTGAGATGAGGGCTTGTTGATGAAGGGGAGTTGAAGCCTGGATATGAAGGTGAATATCACGACGAATATATAAAGACGAATATGAAGGCGAAGAAGGAGGTGAGGTTGAAGGTCACGCCTGCTTGTTCTATGACGGTTACCTCTGGCACTTACGACTCTATTGGGAGCAGATCATGTCACCAAATCTTTGATGGATCATGGAGTTTGAAAATTTGATGAGAGAGGAAAACTCGCATTTCCATTCTGGTGAACAACTCTTTACGAGGAGTTATGTCTCACGATCATTCACAGTAGGGTAGAAGGAGACCCTTCGCTGGACCTTATGGCATCAAGTCTAATACGCGCATCGACCACATCACATCACACCTCCTCTCTGGGGTACCTTATTGAACGTTTATTTATGCCAATGATCCTGATATGTTCTTTCGGTTTTGGCGGTGCCAAAAATCTATATGAGATGGTACTCAACGCCGTAGATCAACACTGCGCTGACGATGTGGTCTGGATGAATGAAGTCGGATGTAGTCTTCGATACACGTGATATTACATGAGCATATTTTCCCTCAATCCGTACTTCCTCTCCATCAGATAGTCGCCTTCGTATGGAGAACCACTCACCTAGCTTCAAGGTAAAGGGCCATTACTGGCGTCACATACGAGAGTCACTGGATGTAGTCCGTTGGACGCAGCCACATCCGTTTGCTCCCAACGGACCAATCCCAGCATCGAACACAGAGATGTTCGGAGCAGTAGACGGTATAGTCACTCAATATTCACCAATCGTTCCATTCTTTTGATAATCTACAGAAAATTTGCATGTGACCAATCTTTGACGGTCTAGGACTGCTGCAACCCCTGACATCGACTCTCCAAACTCGACAGAACCGTATATAACCCCCAGAGCAAAGTGTAAAAAGGTGTGAGATTAATCAGATACTGACCGGCGTGTATCGAAGCAGAGTGGAAGCTCGCAGTGCCTCAATTCGACTACGAAAATCCGATGACGAGGTTTGGTACACCAGACTTCACTCACATCGCAAGCTCACATCAATCACATCACCAACACAACCACCTGAAGAAACCACAAACAAACTCAGAGGTTCGTCGTTGTAGCACCAAACTCCAACCTCCAAACCCCCCACAAGTCACTACCTTACCTTGGTCCTTACCAACCTAAACCCACATGCACCCATGGGCCATACCCCCCCACCCGGCTCCCGCCCGCCGCCCGTTCAATGCTCACATAATCCCCTCCCCCTCGGCCTGGCCCCGCGAACGGCTCCGGTGGGATGAACTACACCCATCACCCATCCCATCTTCCACAAACCACCAAGTCTCTCCCTTACTATTTAGCCAACCAAACATACACAATCTTTTCAATGACGACAAAAAGCTGAGAAATCATAGTCTCTTCTCCCCTCCCAAGACGGAGATTTCTCCCCCCTCAAAAGTCCGCTACCTCAAGACACAACCAAACATATAAACTACTTACACCCGGCCGCGCCCCTCACGATCATGGTGACCTCCCAATCTCACCAGCACCACCTCACTTTTCCCCAAATTCCACCTTGTCAACCTCCTTGAACGTCCTCGCCCTCGCCCAGAAAGCAATCTAGACACTACCAAAAATGACCCTCCCCCCCTCCTCCACCATCGTCCTCACAGGCGCAAACGGCTACATGGCAAGCCACATCGCAACCCAACTCCTCCTCCAAGGCCACCACGTCCGCGGCACAGTCCGCTCCCCCTCCAAAACAGCATGGCTAGCCTCCCACTTCGAATCCACCTACGGCCCCGGGAAATTCACCCTCCACGAAGTGTCTGACGTCGAGAAGGACGGGGCGTTTGATAGCGTTGTCGATGGTACGTCCTCCCTTCGATTCACCCTTCTCCCAGTGGGGCATGAATGGAAAGTGAGGCAGAGAGAGAGCAACAAAACTCAACCTCCTTAGTCAACCTCAATTTCTACCTCACCCTAATACAAGACATCTCCAAACACTAAACCTAACACACCCAACCAGGCGCCGACGCAGTAATCCACACCCTAGCAATAATGAACTTCTCCCCCAACGGCCCAACCCCCCAAGAAACAATAACCTCAAACGTAAACGCAACCCTCTCCGTCCTCCGCTCCGCAGCCCGCTTCGCCGCTCCCTCGGCAGACAAACCCGGCGTGAAACGCTTCGTCTACACCTCCTCCTCCTCCGGCGCAGCCGCCATGCCCCGCCCCGGGACCCCGTACACCGTCGACGCAACCCCGTACAACCACCAAGCCGTAGTCATCGCGCTCTCCGGAAAGGGACCCACGGGCATGGCGGGCGGGTACATCACCTACTCCGCCGCAAAGACCAGGGCCGAGCTGGAGTTGTGGAAGTGGTATGAGGAAGAGAAGCCTGGGTTTGTCTTGAATTCGAGTATGTTCTTCATTGAGATATGTCTTCTTTTTGTTGTCCCGTCCCTACTTATCTTTTCCGTTTCCCTTTATCTGCTTGGTCCTTCTTTTCTATGTCTCATTGTCCTCCTCTTTCACCCTTCCCTGGTCTAACATGAATAATCGATAGTCGTGCCCAACGCCGCCCTAGGCAAAGTCCTCCTCCCGGAACACCAAGGCTTCCCCACCGCCGTCGGCGCAATGCGGCCTCTCTGGCAGGGGAACATCACGCCCGAGTTTGTCGCAATGTTCCCAGCTCGTAAGTACACGGTCCCCTCCCTCTGCTCTGGTCTGCCTCACTCGAAATACTTAAACAACCATGCCCCCCCATCCCTCTCAACCCAAACTAACCACTCCCAGAATGGTACTGCGATGTCATCGATATAGCTCGAATCCACGTCGCAGCACTCCTCCTCGCAGATGTCCAGTCCGAACGCCTCATCGCCTATGCTGGCAAATTCAATATCAATGACCTCCTAGCTGCCTTCCGCCAAATCCAACCAGCCCGAAAATTCCCCGATGATCTTCCCGATCTCCCCTCTGATAAAGGCACTATTGCCAACGAAAGAGCCACTAAGCTAATGGAACGTCTTCAGGGCGGCTAGAGCTGGACAAGCTTGAAGGAATGCCTGAGTGCCTGGCACCGTTGGCTGAGCAGTATGCCGCAGCTGAGGCGGAAACAAAGTGATGTCGAAACGAAATCAGAGGCGAATGGACACATGGGCGAGCTTCACCGGGTCGTGTTTTTTTTTGAGAACTCAAAAGCCTTTCAATTGTCCTTAGGGTGCTGTTGAACTGCCGCTTGGCTGTTCCATTGGCCCAATTGGATGCTGTATATCTACAAGTCGCGCTCCAGCCAACCCCTGGTGCCAGGCTCGGAAAGTTGAAAAGCATCGTGTCGTAAAGTGAAATTGGTATCTGAGAGAAATTTACATCACGATCTATCGCCAATGTTAGTAATGCGCTCATCAACAATAGTTCGGCTTTACTTACGCAGTCAGACTCATCCTTCCCCTTAGGAATGCCCATCGCCTCGAAGGTGGCAGGTCCCTGGCCTGTCGGTTGCTTCTTGGGAGGGGGCATAGTCTGAGCACTGGGAGCAGGGCTGGGTTGCTGCTGCGGACGCGGCTGAGATGAAGGCGGCGCACTGCCCGTTCGACCCGGCTGCTCGGCAAGGTCTGGTCGGTTGGTGAAGGGCCGGGGCTGCGCCGGTCCAGGACCGGGACGCGGGTTGCCTGAAAGGCTCAGCGGCATCGAGTCAATTCGCTGAGGCGCCGCGCCTCTGCCGTATCCATGCTGAGCCTCAGGCGGGATGGATGATGTTCGCTGACCAAAGTTACCAGCTTGTGCAGGCGGCGGGGTAGGCTGGCCGTAATCGCTCGGGCCATAGCTTCCCTGCTGAGGAGGGTACGGGTTCTGCTTGGGCGGCCTGTTTGCGGCTGGGTTGGGAGGAAGGCCACCAGCCGCTGGGTATGGTTGGCCGGGTGGTCGCGCTGCGGGACCAGGGCTTGGTTGGCGATATCCTGCAGGCCCTCCGACAGGCACGCGACCGCGCGGGTCCGAACCGGCTGGCGGGACCATGTTGCCCATCGACTGTGAAGCGCGAATATTGCCTGCAGGTCCCGGAGGACCACCAGGACCGGTGCGAATACCAAACGCGCTGCCGGGGCGATCTGAGTGCGGGCCAGAGACGGGGCGACCGCCACCGTAGTGGGGGGAGAGCTGAGGTCCAGCACCCCTGCCACCGCCGCCGCCACCATGGTGCATCTCATCTTCGGGATACGGAGCCGTCGATTTCGGTCTGCTCAGGTTGAGCGGAGCAGGGCGGTCGTCCTCTGGATACGGGGCAGCCGACTTAGGCCGGATTGCAAGGTTGGAGTCAAGGTTCACGGTGAATGCGGATGGCCTGTTGCCCATGCTGCTGGGTCGTGACGGGTCAGGGTAGTCAACGCTGTCGTGCGGCGCCGAAGTAGGATGCACTCTAGGCGAGGGGTGAGGAGATGTATTGGCCGACGTAGACGGGTAGCCGGGGTGGGCATCGGTAGGGGTAATCGGCGCGCTCTCGGAAACGGTCGGCATGGCATTTGGCTGCTTGAAGCGATCGGGCCTCTTTCCTCGCTGAGAACCATGCTGGGACTTGATTCTCGTCAGCGTCGTAGTCTCGTGATCGGCCTTGGTCAGACTCTTCTCGTGATCCAATGCGTCGATTCGGCCTCTGGCGTCCTTGTTGCCGTGGTCAGCAGCCGCTTCGTACCAGAATCTGGCTTGGCGGAGATCCTTGGGGACATGAACGCCAATCTCGTAGTAGTATCCCATGGCAAACTCTCCAGTGGGCAGCTTGGCGTTGGCAGCATCTTGAGCGTACTTGAAGGCGAGCTGTTCATTCTTGTTGAAGATACCCTCGTATCCGAACAGAAACCATCTGCTCACACCGAGCGACGCCTCGGGCTGTCCTTGCTGGGCGGCCAGTCCGTAGTAATGCAGCGAGTACGCTGGGTTGAAGTCGCAACCGAGCTGGCACAACTCGTAGGCCTGGCCAATCTTCAACTGTGCCTTGGCGAAACCAAGGTAAGCGGCCTTCTCGATATACATCTTGGCCTGGTGCAGGTCTACCCGGAGCAGGGCCTCCGGAACGTCAATGTCAGGAAGGTCCTTGGCGAGGAGCATTCCATAGACAAAGGATCCTTGCGGCGCATCCTCGTCCGAAGCGTCAGCGGCCTCCTTGATAAGGTCTAGACCTCGCTGGTAGTCTTTCGGATGGTTGTGCTGGCCGAGCAGACTCATCATACCCAAGCGATACATAGCGGCCGAATCTTTGAGTCGCAGGCCGAGGTAGTAGTGCTCGACGGCTTTGCCGTAGTCATTTGAGTTCTCAAAGAGCATGCCCAGACGATACTCCGCACGCGCGTATCCAAGTTCTGCCGCGCGCTGGTACTTTAGGTACGCATCTTTCTTGTCAGGTCTGCAGCCAAACTTTCCAAACTCGAGCCACTTTGCTTTCATAAAGAGTGCCTCGGGATGTTCCTGGCCCACCAGGTAGTTGACAATATTGATAGCGTCGACGCGCAGCTCGTGCTCGACGTTTGGTGTTTGGCGGCCACTCTCTGGGTCTCGGCTTCTAGCATCCATGACAATCTCAGCCCAAGCCAAGGTGTCGCGAGCCCAGGACAGCTGCATAGAAACATTGTTTGAGTGCAAGACATGCTCGCGGGCGTTCCACAGAATCGTTTCCTTCTCCTCGTCCGTCGGGGGGACGTTGTCACCCGTGAGCTTGGGGAAAGGAGAGAACGAGGGCGCCGCGCTGGGCCGCATCTTATGGGGGTTGTCGCTCGCGCTGTTCTCGTGGAAGGGTCTGTAGGAGTCGGTCGGGGGTGCGCCGGCTTGGGCGTTGGACTCTCCTTTCGGCGGCAGCGAGGGCGCACCGGAATCGGTTGGCTTGAGAACGGAGGACAGGGACGGCTCACGACCGTGACGGTTTGTGATGTTGTTGGAGGCGGCAGCTCGGTTCGGGGAGACTTCGCGGGCTTCAAGTTCCATGCGCTGAAGGTCGTTTTGCATATTCTGGGGGACCTGCGGCGTTACACTGGAGGAGAGGTGCGGTCAGCATAAGGCTATCGGGTTAGGAAAAGGGACGGAACAAAGACAAGGAGCGGCGCCAAAAACGGCCCCATCTCCAGTTCCAGCCAGCGGGAAAGGAGGACCCATGGTTGATCCGCCAAGATTAAAATGAGGGAATACGCGTACCGTTGAGGAGCAGGTGCAATGACCTCGGGCATGTAGTAGTCGTCGAACCCTCCAGGAACGAAGGTTGCGCCGAATTGTGGCATCTCGTCAGTTGTGTTTTCGGGCTGAGGTGCACCTGCATAAATAGGAGGATATCAGTCAGCGGGGGTTGAGTCGAATGACGTTTAGGTTGGAGCCACCGCCAGCTTTTTCTGTGTGGTGGTCTCGTTGCTGACAGTTGGGCCGGCCGCCTTCTGGAGCCCCCGGAAAAAGGAGCTGCTGCTGCTGGCTGTTGCTTTTCGTCGGGCTGATCTGCTTTTTGAGTACGCCCGGCAAGGGTGCGGGAGGGGGAAAGTAATCCTGAGTGGGGTGGAATTTGGCGAAGAAAAACGGTAGGTAATCAAAAACAATCAATAAAGGCTGAGCTGATGTCGGAATGGACTTGGGGGGATATCCAAGTCTTTGGATCCTCTTATGAACTGTCTCTGCCTTCACTTGCTCTCTGTTTTGTTGATCCGAAGGGCGAGGATGTCCGGAAGCGGGGTGGAGAGTCCAGGTCAAACGAAGCTCAAAGCATCTGGGATTCTCGACGGCGGGCCCTTTCTTTTTAGCGTGCAGAAAGAGCTGAGTGTCCCCTTTTCTCTTGTGTGCGCGAGCCGGCTAGTGAAACATGGGAGCAGCTTCGGATAGGCGTGCCAGGTGTCAATGTTGCATTTCTCTCTCGGGTCAGGAGTGAGGGGGGGGGGGGGGAACTCCCTTCTCTCTATCCCATTGTCCAGAAAGCGGGACTGACCAGGGAAGTTATAGAGGAGGAGGAGGGGTCGTTGGTCTCGTCGCAAGTTGTCGAGTGCCCATGGTACTCCACCGCCCAAGCCGCAGCACAGGCGCTAGCTCGCTGTGGCAGCAGAGGGAACGGATGAGCTGAAGAGCAACGAGCCTTTCGTCTTTTTTAGTGCTTGTGGTCATGCTGATGTTGGTATGTTGCTGTTGCTGTGCAGCTCCTTGCTGCGACCTCGAGAATTGAAGGGTACTTCGTCTGTACTTTCTAGGTTGGCAGTGGGCGGAGCAGGGGGTGGGCTGGTCTTGAGGATCAGGTACCGAAAGGTAATCGAGGGGGGCCGCTCCAGGATGAGGCATGTAAGACGTTGGAGACCTCTTTCGTCGTTTTGACGGCCGTCCATTCCGTCAGTGACCAGGATATGTCATCTGACAAGCATGAACAGACGGCGTGGCAGTGGCAGTGGCAGTCCGTGGCCATCCGAAGGCAGAGAGCAAGTATGGTTGAAAGCAGAGCAGCGACAATCCTTTGGAAGTCTGACATGTGCACATGGCACCCAGCAAGCGCGAAGATCTCAGTCATTGTGCGCTTGACTGTACGTCTTTCGCTTGCCGATGCATGGCATTATGGTGTAGATTGGCGGAGAAGAGTACTCCGTCGAGCAGCAACAGCAGCAGCAGCAGTAGATTTCCGGGTCGGGTGGGTCCTTCGGGCTCCCGGCTAGATAAAATGAGGTGGTCTCCACGAAAGGGAGATGGGGAGGAGAACGGCAAATAAGGGAGATGAAACTTACCACTGGCTTTTTGCAGATAAAACCCAACTTGTCCTCGTCCTCCTCTTCCTTGTGGGAGTTGTGCTTGACTCTCGGAGATGGAATGCGGTCCAGACGCAGCGGCTGTTCCACCGCGACTGGCGCTTCTAGTGCCGCGGCCGTTGTAGTGTGGGCCTCGTACGGCACCCGGCGCATGTCCCTGGCCAAGCCGCGCGTACATCGCCCACCTGGCTTTGTACGCTTCGACTTCGTAGGGTGTCATCCTCCTTGGGTACATCTTTTGTTTTCGAATGACAGCAGGGGTTTTCGTTTGCGAGTTGCCGCGGTAGGTA